ATTTTCCACTCTGACGAGATTAAATATCTAGGGGAACTTCTGAAAATCCAACGATAATGACAGATATCAGTACCAAATACCCCAATCTGTCTTTAGAAAATGATATGGGTCAAATGTAAATATGAAACCCACGTGAGGGGGAAACATCTTAAGTGTAGCAGTGTGAACACAGCCTTGGATGAGGGAAAGGGGGGCTCTGGTATGGAGGTTCACAGCTCTGGGGACTTGGAAAATATTCATCTCCTCTAAGCAGGGACAGTTAAGGGGGGCAGGCTTTGTCTAACACAACCCCTCCAGTCCTCTTCTCTTTTGTTGGAAGGAAACATTCACACAGACACACACACAGACGTAAAGCACTCCAGCAGTGAGGCTCTGACCAGCTGTCTTCATTCTGAGAGATAGCCGTCGTCGCTCATAAACACAGAGAACTCACAGAGGAAGGCGAGCAGGAGGAAATGTCTCTGTTTCACCTTTTCTTTAATTTCACTCCAGCATCTGCATCCTTCATTTTAGCTGACATCTCCGCAGCACATTTTTTTAATTGATCACTTTAGAACATATCAATGTCACATAAAGTTTTTACATCTAAAGTTTGAAGTCAATATCCAAAAAAAATCGCACACGAACATCCCTAAAGGCATCGAGACGATTCAAACGCCAGCAGCATGCAGATACTCTCATTTGTTTTTGTGCCAGCAACCGCGCAGAAGTTTGCAGAGAAGCAACATCTCAATTTAAAAATGATGCCGGAGGGGCTCGGGTTACATGCAAACAATTTCGCAACAAAAATGAGAATAAATAACAAAATTATAAAACTTAAAAGACACCTGCGTTAGAGAAACACCTGCAGGAGGCAAATAATTATAGAAAGAGAATGGGTCCCTCCACCGATTTATCACGTGCCTGAAAGAGCTTATCTGAGACAAGACAAACATCGTGCGGCAGAATTTCAGTTTGAATAGCGATTTGGGGAGAACCAATCAAATGCCTGCATACTGCCTCCATATATGCTGTGATCAGGGCGTCTGCGTAGAAATCGAAGCAGACACGGCGGCGACGCTAACAAAGATAGCCGAAGCCGCCTGCTTTCTCTCTCTTCAGAGTGTGTGTGAAAAGTGGTGTGTATTGTTCATAGACCGAGGCTATTTCGGAGCAGGGGGGCCCTTCCAGTTGTCCTCCCTACATCGGCCCTTTCATCGCTCCCTCATCCATATTTATCGCCGCTCAGCTCTCCTCACCTATCAGCGACCAGCTAGCTGTGACCGATGTCTCGCTAAACCAATCACATGCTTCCCTTTGTGGGAACATTAGCACCTCTCAGTGCCTTCACCCCACCCTGTACAATGGCTTCTTTGCTTTTTTTTTTTTTTGACGCAGTGGCTTAAAAAAAAAGAAGAAGAAGAAGAAGAGGAGAGAATAGAGGAGAAGGAGAACTGCAGCTACCGGTGGCAGATTCAAGTCGATGGCGGCTCCAAATCGATTGACAGCCTCGGAAACAGTTGCCGAGTGAGCGTCGTCAATAGCAGCCAGCAATTGATGATGGGGGAGTGGGTGGGGGATGAAATGATGGGAGGACGAGGGTGAAGGAGGACAGGAGGAGGAGGAGGAGAGTGGAGTCATGATGGTCTGAATAGAGCATGATTAGTATGGATGAAGAGGAGAGGAAGATGGAACGAATGAACCCAGGAGAGAGGAGAGGGAGCGGGCGAGGAACGCTTACGAGTGAACAAAACAGGCGTGTCGCAGAGGAGAACGCTGTGTTCTGATTCTCGCGCTAAAGGACGAGCGGGAGCGCTATCAGTTGTTATATTTACCAAAAATATCAGCTTGAGTTTAACGGCAGGAAAAAATACAACTGTGCATATTTTTGTAAGATAGCATCAACAGTTGTAACGTGTTGATATTTCATTTAAAACACGAGCTTATTTTCTTCAATCTGGCTCAGAGCGAAGCAGTTTTAGCTGAATTTAAGAGTGAAACTCGGTCCGGGTGGTGTCGGGGTTTCTTCCTCCTCGAGCAGACGGACGATCAATGCGAGGAAGACTGTCCTCCTTTGTAAGGATGGCCCAAAAAAGGATGCACAGCTCAGCTCCAGGAGCAACAGAAAACACTCAGATCAATACCATCAAAGGCCTTGTCTCACATAGTCAAGGCTCGAGTCACAGTCTGACTCTGGGTGTGCTACTGTAAGTGTGCGCATGCAGCGCAACATATCATTTACACACCACCTCATCTTTTATGTTAAACTTCATCTTTGCTTTTTGTACCTGAAGTCGAACATATAACACACACACACACACACACACACGGAAAGCTTTGAGTGTACTGCTCATCTAGTCCCCTAATGTCACTTGGCAAGGGCATTTTAAGCCCCTCCTTCTTCCCAGCACTTGCTTGCCAGTCCATCCATTTACTAAATGAATGTATTATATCTTAAAGGCAGCAGAGAAGACAAGGAAAGAAAAAAGAGGGGAAAGAAGAAAAAAAACATTAAAGGCTTATAATTAAAGGCCTGAGAATCTCTGCACACCAAGGTCAGCAAACTCATCCAAGCTGATAAACCTGCACACCTCCCACACAGTCACATGTTGGTTTCCTGATCACCTACATGAAAATGAAAAAAACAAAACAAAAAAAACCCACTCCAGTTTATTTGGTTTGTGCTTACGTAAGGCTTCTTAATGGCTTATACAAGCAGGTTTTTTCCCCTGAAAGCTGCATTTGTTTTCAGCGGACTGAATCACAGTCATTTCTTTTAGACTGAAAGGCTGTTCCTGGGTATTTGTACGTACTGGTTCTTTGCATTAGCCCAAACGAATCAATCCGGTGCTTTAACCTATGGTGCTGGATGCTACATCTTACTTGGATTAAAATGAATGAAAAACATGGAAGTTCCAGGACGCTTTGATAAAATATTATGATGCAAAGAACATTCTCTACATGAAGCACCGGAAAATATTTCATGTTCTAAAAAGCTTTTTAGTGAGTTATGGATCTATTTTCAAGTGGCTACAAATAGTTCAAATTAATAACAGTATAGTTCTTTTAAAGCTAAGCTGAAAAAATTAAATGTAAAGCCGTACATCACACATAGCTACGTAAACAATATTAGTGAATAACAATTGCTGACAATTACAATGATTTAGTAAGATGTTTAACATGATTTAATAATTCTGGCGTTTGACTCCAGACCTATTTTGTTCGTTTTAGGATTTTTCATTCAAATTATATATATATACAATTAAATGATAGGAAAAGACCAAAACACATTAACACATTAAAATATTGAACCCTGAGTGGCACCAAATGTATAAATCATGAAACTACTGGAAGATATTTATCCTTTGAATTCATCACGATCAAGCCCGTCTTTGTAAATAATCTATTTAAACATAGGAAACCGGATTAAGCGTGAATGAGCTCATTAAACGTCTCTGATCATATATGTACACGATAAAAGGGAACTCCGAGTTTCTTTAATATCCAGAAGAACCCTGCTGGACGCGGTGAGGGGAGGCGCAGAGATAAGAATGGGCTCGGGCTGGTGGATTAAAGCCGTGGTGGGGGTGGGAGCTTGTGAACAGCAGCGACTGCAGCTCCTCATTGATCTTTCCGTCTTTAAGACCTTCAGCTTTTTTTATAAGGCGTAGCTGTGATTTATGACCTGCAGGGCTATAGCTGTCCCATGTTGTCCTATCTACAGTCTGACAGCAGACCAGCTCCTTCTTCCTGTCGTTTGCCTTTTTCTTCACTCCCTCTCACACACAAAAACGCACACACAGATATCTGGATAAACCCTGGACACTGGAAAAATCCAGGTCCATCTTTTCTCATCATTTTTGACCCGAACGCATTCTCTCGCTTCTAATGAACGCAGCAGATCTGATTGATATGAATGGAAATGCCCTGGCATTAAAACCTACATCTGGACATATTTATAAGCTGCAGCTGTTGGAGGGAAAAAAAAAGACTTTTTAAATATTTTAAAACTCTAATAAAGATAAATTTCTTTGATTTAAAAAGTTTTTTTCCTTCTTTTTTTAGGTCTACTCAATAAAGCTTCAGTCTTCCTGTCATGCATCTCTTACCCAGCAGCAGCTGCACGGTGCACGCTGCAGCACACTTTAACCACAGTGAACAGCGAATGAACATTTCAACAATACATCGGCGGTCGTAAACCCAAATGCTTTGATGGCATGGCTAGCATGAGGTCAAAGGTCATCATCTGAGCAGCAATGTTGAGCATCATGACAAAAGAAACACTGGATTTGTATAAAAAGCATGACAATGAATGTTATGGAACTGGTAACATACAATATAAAAAACATCAGCATGCATTATCCTGAATCATGAGCAGGATATGAGGGTGTTAAATGTTGCTTTAAATCCTATTTAAATATCAGGCCCTGCAGCAGTCGGATCACCTCATTAAAGGCCCTATATCTTTTATTTACTCCAGGATTTTGCACATTAAGTCTGTGTTGTGAATCAGAATTTCACAGTAAAGATTATAAAACAGGTAGAAGATCAAAATCAAAGTCGCTCTTACCATGAGTCTCAGTTTCTTGGTGAGGGAATACAATGCCTTCAGTTTCAAATAGGGGCTGCAGGAAGGCCACTACAGAGAGAGGAAGCACAGGGGTGGGGAGTGTGTGGTGTAAACTAATCATACATAAAAACAACCATTATTATGATCTCTTAGCGCCACTTTGATTTCTAAATTTACAACTGCAGCGTGGGTGCAGCTTAAAACTATCAAATACAAAAGCATGTTCTCT